ATACACCTAGATTAATATCCATCATATCAAATGATATTTTTCTTATTAATCATTTGATTGTGAACGTGAATTTATTGATTCGTGGATTTTTTATCAGCAAAAATTACGATAACAAGACTTAAATATATATATATATATATATATATATATATATATATATATTTGAAAATCAATTTAGATTGATTTCAGTAACAAGGAACTTGTGTCATTTAATAATGGAGAATCAAATCTTAGCTCTTTCAAATATAAAAAATTAAAGTTGGAAAGCGATATTCACCTAATCAGTAGCTATCAAACTTAAAAAAAAATATTAATCTCTATATTTGACAAAAAAAAACTCTTTAATAAATAAATAAATGATTAAAAAGAATATGGATAAATTTCAAATTGCACTCTTCATTCCATGTATTTGAAAAAGTTGTAGAAATTAAATTTCTTGCAAACTATTTTGAATCAATACATAATTCGACTTTTCTTTTGTTGACAGGACATAATTTGACTTCTAGCAACTAGCAAGGTATGCAAATCCTTAACATATTTGATCAATTGAATCTATTATTCTACATCCGCTTAAGTCGGCAAAAGTATTATGTTTGGTTTATATACAACTTAAAAACAATTAATAATAAATAGTAATTATTAAATAAAAAAATAACTGTTCATTTTAATACTAGATATCTGTGTTTTTTTTCATTATCAAAAAAAAATATATCTTTTTTTTTTCTAATCTTTTGTAAAATAGTGTTTTTATTTTTTTAGTTTTTCTTTACATATTTTAGTGACTGAAGTAAGATATATATTTATGTAATATTTTGTATTATTTCACAAAAAAAAATTACATTTATATCATATACATACAATTAACCTAATATATTGATATTTTTGTGGAATGATAGTAATATATATACTAATGTGTATTTATTGATATTAAATTTAATATTATTAATAAATATTTATCGAATATTAATATTTCAGATTAAATAAATAATAATTTATATTAATATAAACTAATTTATGTTTATTGATTTTTATCAAATGTTTATTGCTTTAGTACCTTATATTTATTAATATTAATTTATTAGTAATATTATGTGTTACTCTTGTGATCATCCTTATTAGTATGTATCTTTAATATGTTGGGGTGATTTTTTAAACTTTATATAAATTTAGGTAAAAATTAATGTTTTTATTTTTGTATTTAGGAGGGTAAAACTCCAAAAAAAATTACACATGGATACTACTATCTATATGGAGACTCGTTGCGTCTCAAATTAGTAAAGGAAAATAACTCCTAGAAAGAGACTAAGATATGAGTGCCTATATTGTATGAGTGTGCAATGTGCCAGTAAAAAATAATGTTATTATCTAAGTTGACTACTCTAATTCTTGTGAATTAATAAATGTGGTCTTATAAAACAATCAAAGAACAATTTATATTTATATTATTTATTTAATAACAATAAATATGTAATTTTAATCTCCTATTTAATACATAATATATCTTTCATTCATATAATAACTAAGTACTTTGACCAAGAGGTAATGATAGTGGTGTTGCAAAGAAGAGATTGTTGCTCAAATCTCACTACCAACATTTCGTAAACTCCTTTTCTAATTTTTACATTCCAATGGTCACATCACCCGTTCAGAATTAGAATTAAATAAATAAAATCGTATTATTACAAATTAAAAATATAATTTAGTCTAATTTAAAAACAAAACCTTTGTACAAATTAAACTACAAATCCGTGATATTAAGGTTGATGAAAGGCAACCGTAATAAAAAAAAAATTAGTTAGTATACTTATTATTCAAAATTTAAATAATAAAAGAATATACTTCAGTTTTTTTTTTTTTTAATTTCATAACCGTAGAAATTATATAGTGTTTGCCTTGGTTAGCCGTTAATTTCTTTGGGCTTTTTTCAGTTTTTTCTTTTCTCTCTCGTCATTTACCCATTGTACGTTTTGCGGAGCTGGGCCTTATACAATTATCAAACGGCCCAAAACCCTCTACTTCTTACTAAGGCTCATGATATACATTTTTTTTTACAAGTACACTTCTTTTTAAAAATATTTTTAATATTTTTCTATTCTCTAATTAGTGCTCGATAATTTTTTTTAAGTGCGTTATTATACATAATTCTGAAAAGTCCTTTTCAAAATAGTAACTTTAATTTTTTGAAAAATACTTTATAGAAATATGAAAAAAATATAATTGTAAAAATATTTTTTAGAACACTAAAATTAATATTTTGAAAAGTATTTTTTTTTACATTGAATTTAACGTTATGCTTTCTGGAAATGTGGAAAGGGAGGAAGTGCTCAAGCAAAAAAATATGAATCTAACACTTTTGACATTGTAAAAACTATACTAATTTAATGTTTCGAGTGCATGTAGAAATTAAAAGAAGAGAAAGAGAGAGTAATAGTGTCAAAATTAAAAGGAGAGGGGAGAAAATTGTAATGTAAAAACTGAAAAAAAAAATTACTTATTCAAATAAGTTAAGAATGAAAATAAGACAAGTAAGTGCATATGAAAATTGAAAGAGCAAAATAAAAAAGAAAGAGAGAGAGATGTGTGTGAAAAAGAAGGAAAAAATGTTACATTGAATGTTTGAGATGTAATATTAAAAATTAGAAAATAAAAATATTTAAAAAATTTATTTTTTAAAATAAAAAGAAAGGAGGTGTACCAAAAAAAAGTTGTATATATGACGAGCCTTCTTACAAATTATAAAGACCAAATCCATTCTATCATTTCTTTGAAGATTTCGGGTTCAACCCGTAAAGATTTGTAGTCTTTGTCGAATGGGTCCATTCTCTCGGCCTCTCGTGCGTAAAGACAAACATCTTATAAAAACCAAATTAAAACATGTAATTATAAAAAATATACAATGGAATTTTATGAAAATTCCTTTATTAGATAGTAACTCTTGTTCCTATTATGACTGAATAAAATTAAATAAAAAACAATTTAAAATATAAGTATATCAAATAAATTTTTAGTTTAAAATAAAAATATGTATTTTAGTTGACATATATGGATAATGTACAGAATTTTTATACTATTGTCAATCACTAATTATTGTATAATTAAAAATTATTAACCTTTTGTAATAAATATTTTAAATATTATCATGTAAAGCAATTTCTAATAAATAGCTCATAAATCCTTACAGTGACAGTATATCAACATTAGAATATAAATACATTAAATTCATATATCTTTCGTTTTTACTCTGATTTTAACCCAAAAAAAAAAAAAAAAACTCTAATTAATTTGATATCCTTTGGAGTTCTAGTAACATAACAAACATGGCAACGAAGTTCAAAAGGCCATGTATCTAAGGGGAAATGCGCGAAGAATTTCAGTAAAAGAGCAATCGGGGACGACAAAATCATCTATCAGAAGATAAAGCACAAAAATATTGTTACATAAAATATTTTTTTTATAAAAAAGGCAAACGGAGATATCATAAACATTCACCTCCATCCAAAAAGCAAAAATATCAGTTCATAATTACAATACCAACAGTCTGCTATCAAATTTAATATATAAATGACATATGAATTTGAATTTAATACTAGAGAGCAAACAATACTATGAAATTGAATTCAACTCTTCCATAAGATTTATCCCTTTAACTTTAGAATTGATCCTCTACAATCTTCTCTAAAAAAATAATCAATTTTTTTAACACAAGAGGAGGTTTGTGCATCAAACAAATGTATACATATATATTATCAATAGGACAAATAATCAGAAGTTGCCAATGAGCACTGCATTGAGAAATTATCAGTAA